AGTCCAATCTGCACAGGTTAATTCACGGTGAAGATTGGACTCACCTGCTTCAGTGGCTGGGTAGAACAAATACATGACATGGAGATGACTTGTTGACTCCACATTGCCCATGTCTGGTACAGACCCCCACATAGCAATGGTGCGCTGTAACATGGAATCCCCAGCAACAGCTGCCTTAAAGGGGAACGCCATTTTTTTACAATGAGCCCTTGATTTTACGTTATTACATCATATTCTACTCACCCATATGAGTTTTGTGTCATTTGGATTAGAAATGCTGGTGTACCATAAAGAATACATTATGAACAGTTTAGGTTGTGCCTTCAAGTCGTTGCCCATACGAAGACCTTACTTGGATATAACCTAACCAAATATCTTCAGAACAGCTCCAAAAGGCTGATTCCATGCAAAGCGAATCACACAAATTATGGAATAGTGAGCAACATTGAAGTCCTTTTTTTCCTGAGCCCAAGTATGATATTTCTCATTCCTCTGTTTCAGGAGAAGGAATCTGAAAATCAATATGTTGTGAAGCTCTCCCACATCTTAAATAGGCTTTACAACACAATCCTCCAATGCTGGGGATTTCCAAGTTGATGTATTTTCTCACTTTTTGTACCTCACTTTTTCCTTCCACTCATTTCTCCCTGAAATAAAAAAAAGCCAGTGTCCATAATGTTGTTTATAGTGTTAATGACTTTCTGCTAGACAACTGTCAGGTCAGCGTTCTTCCCCAATGATTGTGTCGCCCTAAGAAGCTAGTTTAGCTAGTCTTGATTCATGATATACTGTATGATATTAAAGTTTTTATTTATTCTTTGAATTACTAAAACAAAAGCTTTGCAGTCATTTAGTATAAGAATTTATTAACCTCTGACTGTATGTTGAACTGTCAATGCTTCTTCTTTCTTAACAATCATGTGTACTCAAATCCTAATGGTGTGACCTGTCTTTGAAGCTCCCTCCCAGCTGTAAGACATTCCAGGAGGCCCAGACTGATTTGAACCACACGGCAGCTGAACTCAACCACTCAGCAGGCGAGGTCGTCCACTCATCCCGTGGAACAAGTAGCCAGCTGGCTGCAGCCTCGGGGAAGTTCAGCCAAGACTTTGATGAGTTCCTGGATGCTGGCATTGAGATGGCAGGACACACCCAAGTGGGTTTTACAATCGACAGCTACCTCCCTCACATACCACAGAGATGGCTATTCAGCAGAGCCTTTAAAACATCTTTGTTCTAGAAGCTTTGAATACGGACTGTATGATTTTATTACCTTATTAGCTAAGATGTTGCTCAATCAGTCATTTTCACCTTATTAACTTGGGCACACTGATTGTCTTTAATAGCTCTAACCCTTTAGTTTTAATAAGATGTAGTTTTGATCTTGTTCTGGTGATTTAACTCATTCATCTGGAAAGATGGTGTGCAATCGAAGTTGACATAGCATGACACCTAATCTTGAACCTCCTTCAAAGAGAATACTAAGAGAGGGCATTAAAAACATAATTTTTTAATTAATATCCAAAGATAGAAGTTGTCTAATCTGCAATCTGTCAATTGTTCATGTTTATCTTATTCTATTTGTAAAAAAAAAAATAATAAAAATAACTGTGTTCTTTTTTATTTGTGTATGTTAAGACAAAAGAGGACCAGATACAAGTCATTGGTAATCTGAAGAACATCTCAATGGCATCCAGTAAGCTGCTATTGGCCGCCAAGTCTCTTTCTGTGGATCCAGGTGCAGCCAATGCAAAGAATCTTCTAGCTGTAGCAGCAAGGTGTGATTCATGAGTAATGCAATTCTTTTTTTTTTGTTGCCCATGCATGATACTGTGTGTTTATATGGTACTGATTAAGAAGGATGTGATGGATACAGAAAACATATTTGTACTGAATCTGTATGCCACTCCCACAACATGTCTATTTGATCTTACTAAAGAGAGTGCATATCCTCCTGCTAGAGGAAAAGAGCCAAGCAGCTGGTCCCATCGGGCTTTTGGCCTGACTGACTTCTCTCTGTCTAATTAGGAGGATGGAAGCCTTGGCTAGAGCTTGTCTGTGCTCAGCAAGGCTGAACACAAACTCCAGACAATCTCTGTACCCCTGTGCACAGTATTAACCAATAACAATGAGAGACCAGCACTGCCATGCTTGAATAGGGAAGCGTAAAGCATGTCTGAGTGGAGTTAGGATCTTTGTGTGTCCATGTAGATGACACTTGTGAAAGTTAACAGGATGTATTGCTATTGCTGGTGTGTTTCAGGGCGGTGACGGAGAGCATTAACCAGCTGATAACGCTCTGCACACAGCAAGCAGCCGGACAAAAAGAGTGTGACAACGCCTTGAGGGAGCTGGAGGTAGCTATCCTTAGATTAATTTCACCACACACAGACAAAACACATTATTTTAGATCCACATTTGTTACCGTGTATATATGTACACGCCACTCGAACTATGTTTTTTATCTTTATGTATTTTTTTCATTTAAAGCTTTTAAATGCCCATTGATATCTTATTCTGTCCTCTATCACCAAGGGTACTGTTCCCACTGCTATCTGCAAATTTGCTACATTGCAAATCATGCAAAGCCTTCATTTTTTTCTAACCTTTGGGCTTAAGGATAAATGGTGTAGAAATTGCGGTCTCTGCAATTATTTTATAGCATTCTTTATTAAGGGGTCCCTTCTCAAGGATCCTTAGTGTGAGTTATTCTTGTGCCAACCAGGAAGCTTATATCTGTGCTTCCATTTAACTTTATTGATGCTTTGTACCAATGAGAATTACCATTTTTTTTGCCAAAAAATCTTTCATCTAAAAGCATAAGAAATTTGACCTTGCACCACACAGAATATTCTTTGTGACTATATATGTATTTTACATTTTTACGTTTTACAAAACATATTTTATTTTATGTTTTGTCCACGCTACTAGTTTCATTATAAATCATGTTAACCTTATCCTCCTCCAAGTATTTATAAAACTCTGTGTGGGTTGAACAGAGTGACACTGAGATGTTAAGGTGTTTTTTGATTTGTTTGGAGGTTATTTTAGATTACCAAATAAACCCAATTGTTTATGTCATTGCACGGTCATCCATGAATTAATATAGTAGAAACATGCGTCTTTAGGCAACTGCATGTTGGAAAAGTGTGGTAGCTTTTTCAAAACCCTTTTCTTATTTTTTCTTTTTTTCTATGTACTTCAATTCGTTAATCTTTGGATCAAAGTTTCTTTTTATTGTGATTTTTTTTTTTTTTTTTACATCTGGTGTTGGAAGCTGTCTAGTTAAAATGATTTTAATATATTTTCATGCACATTTGACATGCATAACCATTGCAATTATTGCGAGTTGTTTTGTTTTTGTTTTTTGTTTTTTTACATGCAGGAGCAGTTTATTAATGTTTTAAAATCTGAAATAATACTTGAGATACTTTTGCAAGTCCTAGCTGAGTTGAAAAAGAAGTGCCAGGGATAGAGAGCAGGAGCAATGAGAAGAGAGAGGAAGAGGAAAAACAAGACGTTTCTTCCATCATTCATAATAAGCAATGTGAGATCTTTAAGAAACAAGTTAAAAGACCTTGGAAATGCAATGTTATGCATTTTACTAATATGTGCCTGCAGGATCATATCCCCCAATCCAGTGTCTCTGCCAGGCTTTCTGACCATAGAAGCAGATAGAGATTTTAAAAAAGCTGTAAAACTTAAGAGAGTTGGGTTGGCAGTGCTTGTGAAGAACAGATAGTGTCATCCAGGATTTTTAATTTCTGAAGATCAGATATTTAGCTGTTGGCAGTTAGTTTTGCTCGCTGAGCATAATCTTCAGTAGATTTTTAAACAACAACAGAATGTTTTCAGTCAAAGAGTTCTCAAGATCCCACACAGGACAGACCACTATAGAAGATCTTTCTTGCCTACAGCTATCAACATATACAACTTGGAATCAAAAAAACAAACAAACAAAGAAAAATAGTTACTACAGCATTTAATTTCCCCTTGGGATTACGAAAGTTTTTTCTAATTAAATCATAAGTGAATTTTGAGTTTCCCTAGAAAAGCTTTTTACTGTACCAATATTTCTGTATGATATCATTGAATCATCTTTGCAAAGTGCCTTGAGATTACATGTTTCTTCAGCTGAGACTATATGGATTTCATTTAAATTAATTAAACATAGCTGTGGGAAGAAGGTATGTAACAAAGGTCATGTTGGGATACACAAAGGCAATGTTGGATTTTGTAGAGAGGGCTTTGTCCTCTTTAGTCACTGGTTCCACTTGTAGTCTTTTTTTTTTTATCTGCTCACTCTCATAGCGTTGTTGAAGATTACCAGTAAGTGTGCTTGCACTGATTGAACCTTCAGTGCTTTCATTATACCTGCTCTAGCCTGCTTGGTTTAACGATATTTTTACACTATTACCTAACTGAACATTAATTTTAACAACAGTAAAATTTAACTGAAGGCACCAATTGATATATTTTATCTTTAAAGCATCATCCAATCCATGTTATTTATATTGAATGGCTTTTTGATATGTGAATTAACTGCATGATAGATTTACTGTGGCACTAAAGGAGAAATGTTTATTGATGTGTTCACAGTTGTTGAAGTTATTAACATCTCCATCTGTGAACAGGCTGTCAGGGGTCTCCTAGGCAACCCCAACGAGCCAGTAAATGAACTCTCCTACTTTGAATGCATCGAAAGCGTCATGGAGAACTCGAAGGTACGGGTGTTCAAAATGATTCATACTGTTGTGTGTGTACTTTAATTGTCAGACAGCTTAATGTTTGTGCGCATTTTCCTTATTTTCAATGCACCCCAGGTTCTGGGAGAGTCAATGGCAGGCATTTCTCAGCACTGTAAGACAGGTGATGTTTTAGCCTTTGGGGAGAGTGTGAGTTTGGCATCCAAAGCTCTGTGTGGGCTAACCGAGGCTGCTGCACAGGTGAGATCACAGCACACTTTGATTTCAGAATTTTTTTCTCTTTTCAGTGTAATAACTTTCACACAACTAACCAGACTGCTTTATATTGTAAAAGAAAAAAATATTCATAGCCAAACTACATGAAAAGAATATGAAACATCGTAACAGTTTTTCCAAAACTCTAAGTTGATACGATTAAGGAACTACTTTTTAACCATTTAGACTCATGCAGGTTAAATAAAGTTTTTCCAAAGATTTTACAGGATTCTACCCAACAAGCTATGAAATAGCATCCTTGTTGCCTTTTCAAGGAGAAAATGTTTTGTTGACATTTTCTTCTATTCTAGATAAACCCCCAAGTTATATTTAACAATCAATCAAATATTTAACAACGCAATCAATCATCAGTTTAAACCAGCTTTTTATTACTATTTGAGATATTATTATTGTTGCTCTCTGAAATATAATGTAAGCTGGAAACATACAGTATGATCAGAACTTAGGAGAATAGTCTTTTGTTGAGCCTGATTGCAGTGAATAATGACTGCAGACGGTGGCTGAATGGACAAAATATTGTACATTAAATTTGAAATTAGAAGGGAACATAAGTCAATCTAAACCAAAAACACTTATACTAAATGGATGAATCAGCAATCAAACCATACCTAGGTAGCACAGTTAATGTATTACTTTAATGAAAAGGAATTTATTTCAGACAATTTGACAAGTTTAAAACGTTTCAATGTAAATCGCTTTGAAGCTTGTTTTTTCAAAGGTATCCTTCCTTAACACACTTTTTTTTCTAATTGCTAGTAACAAAAAAAAGCTTCTACCAGCTTGCCATCAGTTTAGAGTTCTTAAGACATATAAAGAGCCAAAACATTAATAGTCTAAACCAGAGGTCTTCAATGACCCCCAAACCGATGGAGAGATCGTGCGGAGAACACCTCATTTTATATATATTGTATGTTATATCAAACTGGTCCTATACTCACTCTATTACTTATGGAATAATGTAGCAGAACTAATTTCACCTAGGGATTATTAAAGTATTTCTGATTCTGATTCCTCGGAGATGGGACAGGTGTTGAGAAAAAGCTCCTGTGTGTCGCTGAATGTGCACATTGATGATTGAAAGACATCTTCTGCCTCCATTTATCCATTTACAATAGTGTGTTGAATTCATGTTAATGTGTATTTAAAGACACTTCAATAAGTGGAAAACATTGCAGAGGGAAATATAAAACTTTCATGACCCTCATGCAGTACCACTGTGGACCCCCTAGGGGTCGCGGACCCCCTGTTGAAGACCTCTGGTCTAAACTCAACATCAGTTTATTCAATTTACCAGTAAACATTAACACAATACACACACTAAATATGAGATATTTTATCTAATAAAAACATCTGGAGGTCATTAATCCAGAGAATGACACATTGATTTGTTGACTTGAAGTTACATTGCCAAAGTTCTAATTCCAATTTGCAACTTTGCCAAAAAGTTTAAAATACACTAAATAGAAACAAACATCCATAATTCAAGTAAAATGGAAGAAAAAGAAAACGTCTTAAAATTAACAGACATGCACAAGGACTGAGGAGAAACACAGGTTTAATCTGTTCAACACACCAGTCTGTACACAGCCTACCACAAATAGAGCCAAACAACCAGGGCAGTATTGATATTTTCCACCAGGCAATGATTGCAAATTTTAAACAGGGCATTAGGGTCTTACAACACTGGTCGTGTGACGGTCCTTTTAAATGCCATTAAGTGACATGGGTCGCATAAATTTGAATGTTGGTCAAATTTTGTAGCTTAGATGGGTAGGCTCTAACATTTTATTTATTTTATCTTATCTTTTGCTGGTTAAATCCTCAATAAACTGACACGTTTTTTTATCAATTCTTTAGGCCTCTTACCTTGTAGCTGTTTCCGATCCTAATAGTCACTCTGGTCATGAGGGGCTGGTGGATCCGATTCAGTTCGCAAGAGCCCATCAAGCCATACAGACTGCTTGTCAAAATTTAGTGGATCCAGCCAGCAGTCCGTCACAGGTAAGATGCTACATCTTAATCTATAAGACAATACATAAATATTTCCTATCGTATAAATATAACTTCTTGACTTCCTGTTGTGAGATATGTGTGATTACATTGCATAAAATTGTTAGAATACCTGAACCTTAACTTTTCTTACAGCAAAAGATACACTCTTTCAAAGGTTCTGAATTTTTTTTCTTCACTCAACATTTATTTGGGTTATATTGCCTTTGCACAACACTTAGACATTTAATTGCAGACATTTCAGCTAAATAAACGTTGTCTTGTTGTATTGTAACGTTGTGCTTTGAAAACTTGTGCTGTAAACATTAATGTACATGTTACCATTAGATGATCGGCTGTTAAACACAACACCAACAATGTAGAAAATTAACCTGACTGTCAAACTTTCTAACTCATTAAATCCATGTTATGGATTGATTCAAGCCTAAAATTAGAAAAAGAATCTCAAGCGTTTAACTTGTTGGTGAATTTCTACTTTTTTTTTTTTTAACAAGACTCTATTTATATATTAATTATGATTTTTAAAAATGAGTCACATTAATGCATTAGTCTCCTTATGGTTTTACTGTGAAGGCTGGTCATGAGGTTGGACTTTGTTTTGCACTGGCTGTTATTTCTTTTCTATTTTTTTTTTTTCATTTTAATTTTAATAATCTGAACCTTTCAAATGTGGGACACTGCTTCATTCATGGGGCACAGAGTCAGAAGTAGTAAAAAAATCTGCAACGATCAGAATCTGCTTACCCTGCATAGTAGGAGCCTCATACGCACTGCAGTCAGTGTGACATGGAAAAAAATTGGATGCAACAGTGTGGCCCTTGCTTCAGACCTTACTCCTAAAGACCACACACTTTAACACAGACACACATGTTGTGTCAAACAATTCTTGTTGGCTCTTTCCATTGATTTCTATTGATATTGCATACATTTCTATGGCCTTACCCAGACCCTTAACCTAACAATTATCAACGCATACCTAAACCTAACCTAAACTCATTTCACACCTTCTTCCAGGGTGGGAATTTCCAGTTCCTGAGGGCCGGTATCCTTCAACTTTTAGTTGTGTCCCTGGTGCAACACCCCTCAATCAAGTAACTAGATAAATAAGTGGACTAGATAAATAAATGATTGCATACAGATAAAGTAATTCAGCAATTTGATTCAGATATGTTGGACCAAGGACACATCTAAAAGCTGCAGGAAGCTCAACCTAAGGAACTGGAATTGCCCACTCATGCCTTAGTTCTAAACCTAACCCCCACTCCAATAAGATTACTTCTCCTCATAGGGACATGTATCTATAAGTCCTCATAATGTAGCCTATTACTGGGAAATTGCTACCATGGGGTAACCAGGACTGTAGGCAAAAGACTTGAGAACTGGCTTGGACCTCCCTAAAGACTTGGTACCAATATCAATGAGACCAACATGTGCACAGGCAAACAACTTGGAAGTTTTAGTAGTAGTGTTATGGATTATGTGTATAAATGGACTCTCATTTGATTTGAATGTTTTGTGGCTATACTGTATTGTTAGTGTATTTTGCTGTGCTTCAGAATACCTACAGTTCTAAACATACTTGATGCTTCCTGTCTCTGTGTCTGAAAGGTCTTGTCTGCAGCAACAATTGTTGCCAAGCACACCTCAGCTCTGTGTAATGCCTGCCGTCTAGCTTCCTCTAAAACTTCCAACCCTGTGGCTAGGAGGCAGTTTGTCCAGTCAGCTAAAGAGGTGGCCAACACTACAGCCAACCTTGTCAAAACCATCAAGGTCAACTCCCCAACTGATCAAAACGTTGAGTGTAAATTTGTTACAGATCTTTTTTTTTTTTTTGCTTGTCTGTGGTTGATCAAAGGAGATGGTGCAGATGTGTATGTATAATTCAGTTAATTTTAATCATGTGATCAACTTGGAGAGATGTTTTCATGCTTAATTTTCTCTTTTCAGGCATTAGATGGAGATTTTTCTGAGGACAATAGAAACAGATGCCGTGTTGCTACAGCTCCACTGCTTGAGGCTGTAGAAAACCTATCAACCTTTGCTAACAACCCTGATTTTGCAAGCATCCCAGCTCAGATCAGTAATGAGGTATTTATGCGTTGTAATGACCATTTGTTTTTATTGTGTTGTTTTAATGGTTGCACAGCACATGCAGCAGAGAAAACTAAATACAAACTGAATTAAAAATTTTTGTATTGATTTTGCATGTTTTATTGTCAACATCTTCCTATATACCAGCTCTTCACAATACTTTAGAATTTGACCTGATTGTGCATTTATCTTTTTTCTATTAACATCACAGTAAAGTGTAAGATCAGTTTCGGTCTTTAGTAGCGCTGTGCTTGAACAGTGCTCTGAACGTTTTATGGCTGTAATCTATTGTAGGGCAGTGTTTTACAGTGCTTGCTCTTACTACAGCTGCTGTAATCTTCAGCTTGTTAATCTAATTGTCAAGAGAGATTTTGGCTCATATCATAAAGACTAAAGGTGTTAGTCCCCATGTCTGTGTAAAGCTGCCTTTCTAATCTCATCCCTCTTTTTGATTCCACAATTGATCTCTCTACAGTAGCCAGAGAATACTAACAACTCTGTCCAACCAAAACAGCTCGCTGCTGGCTGTTCAGCTGCTACCTGGGCTGTATTTTCACCAGCTCTAATCTTTTCATGTCTCCAGGGCTCAGTGGCACAGGAGCCTATTGTGCGCTCAGCCCGCTCCATGCTCGATAGCTCTACTTACCTTATAGAGACGGCACGGTCACTTGTCCTCAACCCTAAAGACCCCCCCACGTGGTCGATCTTGGCAGGCCACTCCAGGACAGTTTCTGACTCGATCAAAAGTCTCATCACATCAATCAGGTTGGTTACAACCTGCTCAATGTCATGTCTTTTTTCAGCATCATTACCCTGGATCCATGATTTCAGATGTGAACTGATGAGCTAGAGTAAACACTTTTATGTACACTTGCTTGTTTCCCTTTGTAGTAAATTGCAAGTCTAAGTGTATAGTAGCTAATATCTCGTCTGCATTGCGGAAATTAGTTAAAAGCAGTAAATTGTGTGCAAAGCAGAGCTGAAACAGATTTCACTTTGTGCTGGTCCACCCATATCAAAAGTGCAATATACTCAGTGCAACAAAACCATAGGTTACCTACTTAGAAGAGCACTTGAAGAGTGCAGACCTCTGCCAAGCAGCAAATTTTGCCCCGTATTGTGCCTTACATTTATAGCTAAATATTTCTTCTGGACTTTTTTGAGCCTGATGCTGAAGCTGTCAATAGTCACTGCTGCCACTCTCTGGTTTAGAGGGGAACTACTTGTTTTCACAAATAATGTTAAAAGAATCCTTTTAAAATGCCTGCATCCAGAGTATTATATGTATCATCACCAAAATGTTATGGAATGTTCTTTCAACTGAGCTTAACTTTTGATTAAAATGTTATCAAAATCTGTTCATCACTTTTCAAGTTATCCTGTAAACAGACAGAAAGAAAGACAAACACAGACACAAATTCCACTAAAAGCATAACCTCCATGGTGGAGGTAATAAGATCGTTTTTCATTGCAGGAATTTTTTTTTTTTCATCATTGCAGGATGAAAAATCAGGGCACATTTCCATTAACATGTTTCTTGTATCAGTGTACACTGGTTACCTGTCAGCCTCTCTGTGATGAATTAAACCTGATTCCGTTCCTCGTAGGAAAAGCTTGATTATAGAATAAACAAAATGGGTTAATCAGTAAGCTTATGTCGTCATGGAAGAAGGAAGTAGATTTCCTTTGTATGTTTTGGAGGGGGGTCCATGAGCATTACACAGTATGCACAAGCCTAAAATAAATCCAAGCAGTGCTGTTATAAAGTAGTGCATAGTTTTCGTTCCGTGCTGTGTCAGTAAAGGTGGACATCTGTCTCTGTGGTTGCATGTGCTAATAAGGTTGACACACCTAGAGACGCAGCCAGAGAGATAGAGTTTCCCATCCAAGCTGTTGATCACTGCAGTTTTTGCAGTATTACCGTGTAGCTCCGCTTTCACTGTTTCATAGCTAAACTTTTCTTCTTTTTTTTTCTGACGACCCTCGCATAACAGCTGGATTTATATTGAGTTTAAATAGCACATATTTGATCTCTGGCTACTAATAAGATCACATCACATGATAATTGTAGTAATTTTTATTTGTGACGGTAAGAATAAAGGGGACTTAATATTACGGCACACCATGGTTTAGGCTTTTCAGTTTTAATTTTTTCTTTCCTATCAATGTTATGCACTACTTCATGTTGATCATTTACTTAAAATTCTAGTAAAATACATGCAGTCACGATTTGACAAAATGTGAATATGTTTAAGGTGTAGGAAAAATCTTTTACTGGACACAACAATCAACTCTTTACTTTTAAATAAAAAAATATATATAAATCTTTATTTCTGGTGACAGGGACAAAGCACCAGGGCAGAGGGAGTGTGATTACTCTATTGATAACATCAATAAATGTATCCGAGACATTGAGCAAGCCTCCCTGGCTGCGGTTGGGCAGACACTGCCTTGCAGAGATGATATCTCCATGGAGGTGAGTGCACGTAACCCATCAACTGTACCTTGTTTAAAAGAAATAACTGGGTATCTGTAAGCCTTTCTGTTGTTGCTTAAGCTCTAATTATCTGCTGGTGTGACTCAACAGGCACTCCAGGAGCAGCTGACATCCTCTGTGCAGGAGATCGGTCATCTGATTGATCCTGTCTCCACAGCAGCCCGAGGGGAAGCTGCCCAGCTGGGACACAAGGTGCTCTTTTCTGACCGTGTATCACTTTATCCATTTTGGATTCAGAACAAAAGACAATTTTGTCTGGGCTTTTTTCTGTATCTGGTGCTTAAATCCTTTTATTTTCTTACAAATCTCTTAAACACATTCTTGCAGGTGACTCAGCTGGCCAGTTACTTCGATCCACTTATTGTGGCATCAGTGGGCTTAGCCTCGAAGCTGCAAGACCACCAACAGCAGATGACCATTCTGGATCAGACTAAAACCTTGTCGGAATCTGCCCTTCAGATGCTCTACGCTGCTAAAGAAGGCGGGGGAAACCCTAAGGTACATAGTTGTTTTTAAGGTTCTTGTGCTCTTAACTGCTATGCTTTTTAGTTTAAAGCATAATCTGTCTAGATTGTAAAATTTAAAAGAGATCATATAAAGTTTCTACAACCTTGTGTTTTGCGGATGAGCGGTATAGCTCAGCACAACATTTAATGTATTGTGTTTTACAATTGGATGTACTACAGCCTTACATTTTGAGAGTTTTATGGTAGAACATCTACGCGAGTACCCCACTGACTTCTCTTTTGAATGAACCACAACTCTCATTGTTAATTAGCCATCCGTTTCTCCCCAGGCTTCCCACACTCATGATGCCATCTCAGAGGCAGCACAGCTGATGAAGGAGGCGGTGGACGACATCATGGTAACCTTGAACGAGGCAGCAAGTGAGGTTGGCATGGTTGGAGGCATGGTGGAATCCATTGCTGAGTCCATTGGCAGGGTAAGCAAGGGTCTCTTTTGCTCAAAACAATGTATGTTTTGTGTTCCTGTTTTTTTATGGCTGTTTGAGGTTAACCTAGATGTTGTTTTTATTTGTTCAATACAAATATTCTTTGAATTTTAGTTTTTGAGTCTAAAGTTCTTTTCAAAGTTGAAGGAAAATGAAGAAATTGGCCATCAGATGTAGTTACCTGTTTGATCAATCCAAGCCACCTACCAGATATATTGTTTCAGTAATCAGACTGGGAATCTAATATATAAGCTCATTTAAGTTAATTTTTTTTATTTTATTCTAACTTATATTGGCTTACAGCTGATGAGAATTGGATTATACAATGCAACATTTCAAAATACAACTTGGAATGTCGACCTACACCATGGGGAAGGCTGCTGACTTCATAGTTGTCAGATTATAAGTAGACAGTTTCTTTAGTAGTGACCATTTGGATCTGACCGTCTTTCTGGAGGGTGTCAGTGACTGGATGTTATGTTAAGTAATTTCTATAAAAAATTGGGTAAAAGGTAAAGGGGTGTTCGAAAGAGGTACTTAGGAAACAGGGATAACGGAGACAAATGCCATTTTAAGTTGAAGAATCATCTATGAGCTGTGAATCAGTCAGGGCTTCAAAAGCGAACATTACCCAGAAATATCCAGGAAATTGTCTATGCAGTAATACTCCTTTCACACTGGCAGAAAAACCCACTTGAACCCAGGAACAATTGGCTTTTAGTTGCAGTGGGAATAGCTCACTGACGCGTGTCTACCTGGGTCAAACGACTCGGCAAGCTACCCATGTTAAATCCGCCTCGACTCTGATCGACATGCTGTGAAAACACCAGACCCAGGTTGAACCGCTAAATTACGCAACACCATTGAATGCAACGTCAACACACCATGCCAGTCTCTTCTGATCTAACAAGCCAAAACAACTCTGTTTACATTAGGTAAATATGGCGCAAACACTGGTGAGAGTTATTCGGAGGAACAAAAGAGCGAAATAATAAAGAATACTGACTACGCTCTGGCTCCCCACCATGTTGCGAACCATTATTTACTTTCCTGATTTTCGTTGCATTGTCAATATCATTAATGCTCTCCCAGCGTGAGGCCCTCATCAGACACGCAGTGGTGGGGGAAAGTGGCCACGCAGCTCACCAGCAGGGAGTCAGACTCGGCTTTTCCGGTCAAATGGGAAAAGAGCCGATTGTTAGCGGATTATACCGGTTTTGAAAACCCCAGGTTTTCAGTGGGAAACCGCCTTAAGTGTCTAATTCATCATGTAAATTTCCATTTGGAAATACAGACATGTTCCACTGGTAGATTGTTTTATCAAAACCTAAATTTGGCCTATTTTTACATGTAAACTATAATCACCAAATTCAACAGACAAAAATGTTTGCAATAAAGCTGTGTGAGATGAGTTTCATTTTTTTTTTTATCAAATGACTGCAATGGAGTAATTTTTCATCTGCAATCTGATTTTTTAAGAAACACATGTACACTTTAACAGTCGACTTCATGAGGACATCTTTCATCTCTTATTTTTTAAACGCAATTTAACATTTTATACCACTGCAGTGCAGATAATCATAGTATGTTTGAAAGAAATCTTAAAGGGATCTAGAAAACAATATCACAAGAAACTTTTTCTTGGGAGACGGGATTTCGGGCAGAAATCTGTTGACGTGACGCCAACTACAAGATCACTTTGCTGGCAAATAAATGCAAACCAGTGTAATCAGAGCTCTGTAAAATACAGGATTGTTTTAACATAATGAAACACAATGTTACCAGAGGCATTTAATGAGGCATTTTTTTCGCAATCAGCAAACCTGAGGGCAAAAAAAACAGACTGCATTTTTTCTACATCAATGAAATAACAGAAAATAAAAAGCCCTTTCCACACACAAAGGAAAATATTAAAGCACACCATCAGGGTCACTGTAAGTGAAGTTGTTTCCCCTTTTGTAGGTAAAAATAGTCAGTGAGATATTATAGTACATAAACAATATGGTGAAGGACTAAACTATGTTTTTAATACATGTACGATAAGACAATATTTGGTGGGGAGTGGCAGCCTAGTGGTTAGGGCATAGGGCTTGGAATCCTGAAGTTGGGAGTTCAAAACCCACTCCCACAGACTGCCCCTCTGGCTCTCTGAGCAAGACCCTTCACTCCCAATTGCTTCCCGGGGGCCCCACGTTGCAACCTATTCTCATTATGAGTGCGTATGAAATCGTACGAAATGTTATGCACCGTAAATTCGTACGTTTTGGACGTTTTTTTCGTGGTATGCGCATGCACATTTGACGCACCATTCACGGATATAGAATATAGATTACAATTAGCCCTTATCCTGACCCTAACCCTAACCCTAGGATATAAAACAGCAAGCAACGTAGTTAGAGACATGAATAAGTGATTATTGCACCCATTTTTACGTCCGTCCGCGGATCTGCCTTTTTTTTTCTTTCTGCCAGCGCATGCGCACTGATGTGGTTTTTTGAGGAAAAACGTCCAAAACGTACGAAATAGTGTGCATAACTTTTCGTACGATTTCATACGCACTGATAATGAGAATATGTTGCACGATGGTAGCCCTCTGTTCTCCAAGGAGATGGGTTAAATGCAGAAGTAAATTTCCCAAATTTGTGATCAATAAGATTCGATTAATATTTGCTGTCTGTGCTAACATATTACTTTCAATGCAGTTTTTATTTCCCAACCTGCTCATTATTGCTTAACTAATGCACATTTTTCTTCAAACAAAATATAAACAAACACCGTAATTATGTCAAATAAAAAAAGGAAGAATTCTTGTGACCTTTATTAAAATGTACAACCATTAGCTCCTGTTGATTACTGTCGTAAATAGTTACTTTTTTAAGACTACTTTTTCATTTTTGGGAATATAAGTTACTGTGTTTAAGCACTTAAATATTTTTAGGTAAGTGTGTCTGAAGTGTATATCCCCCCGTGAACAACATTTAGTCTTTTATTAGATGTCCTTTTTTTTTGTTATTACAGTTTATAATGCCTACCTAATGCAAAATCCTCAGAAAGTTGATAAAGGATGAAATAATTGGGTATTTGGATTTGCCCAAAGTATCTATATTTGTTTCAAAAGGAAAAGTCACAATTGCTGATTGGTCAGCTGCTGTCAAGCCTCCAGGATTGATTGACAGGTGGCGTCACGTCAACTTGCAAGAAGAGTGACTGAGGTGTTTGCCTTGGATAAATGCTTTCATGTGAAATGTTCTAAATTGGTGTCTTTCTCTCCACTGGTGATGTTAGCTGAGACTCCTCCTGCAGGAGGACATGTTGATATGTTGACAGTGTGGTTAATAATTGATAATGAACTGCACATATGCAGAGAAGTGGATCGGATATTTTCCAATTAATTTGTTTTCTTGTAAAAGCCATATTTAATGAGAAACTGTAAAATAAATGAACCCTGTTATTATCTCATATGCTTCCTTAGCCTTATTTATTTATAAACAGACTGAACCACCTGCTGTTTTTCTCTTTTCAGAGGAAGACTAACATGGGCAAAGAGAATGTATTTACTTATGACAATCCCAGCTGTGGACATGACAGTTTAATGAAATGTTTTCAAATTAATAAGATATTTAAAAGATACCATCATAACTGGGAATTTAATTAGCAGCATAAGTTCTTGCATAATTGTTATTACTTAGTATAAAAATATGCAGTATCCCTAAATTTAATGGTAATAAGTTCTGACTTTAACAGCTTGATGAAGGAACTCCCCCTGAGCCTGAGGGATCTTTTGTTGACTACCAAACCACCATGGTGAAGTTCTCAAAGGCCATCGCCATCACTGCCCAGGAAATGGTTGGTACAATATCTACCACAGCATTAAACCATAAAGCTATAGACTTAAGAATCAGCTTTTTTCATCACCTTTGTGCACACAAAAATGGAATGTTCTTTTGGCTCCAATTTCCTTTCTTATATATATTGAATATATTTATTTTCAGAGTATCTGGAGAAAACATAATTTATTTTTTGTTTTATTTAATCTTGGTTTAACCAGATGACCAAGTCTGTGACCTGTCCTGAGGAGCTGGGTGGCCTTGCCTCTCAGGTAACTGTGGACTATGCACAGCTTGCACACCAAGGACGTCTTGCAGCAGCCACTGCAGAGCCAGAGGAGGTAAGTTTGAAGCCATCATAAAAGATGTGATGAGATATCAAATATTTTAAACCTGTTTGCAACTTGGATTTACATATATTCATTTTTATCTCATTTTAACGGATTCCTCATACTCTTATTAGAGTATATTTTCTCTATTCTTCGATGTCCTTCACAAACTTCTTCAACAATAGATTCAACAGAAAAGTGTCCCCTCCAGCATTCCTCTCTCAGTGCCCACTTGCTGCTCACTTAAAGCTTTTCTGACTTATCCCGAGGATAGCTGTGTGTGCAAATATACAACTAATAAGCACACAGCTCTTATCGTATCCTGTATATAACAAGCTGCTTGAAACCCTGCTGGTTGCTATAGTGACGGTGCTCTAAAAGCCTATAGTGATGCTTGTAATGAAGTACCACCCACCCATGAATAACAGTCAGGAAATTAAAGGTGTAGTGCCAACATTTATTCTTTGAGGGGGCTTGAAATGTTTCATTTCCCACCTTTCAGTAAGAGATCCAAGCTGGAAGGGTGATTATTATTCTAGCATAGCAACTTAAACAAAAAGGGAGATTCTGTGTGAAAGCAAGCTGCTTTGTGCTTTTAGGTTGCTTTCCAGATTAAGACACGGGTGCAAGAACTAGGCCATGGATGTATTTATCTGGTCCAGAAGGCCGGAGCCTTGCAGCTCAGCCCGACTGACAGCTTTTCCAAGCGTGAGCTCATTGAGTGTGCCCGAGCAGTCACAGAGAAGGTAAGCAGCAAAGAAGTTAAAAACTGCTCAACAATTCCTTGACTGTTTTTAAATGATTTAACCATCATTACATGTTTTCTTCTAAATCTAAGTATAACATAAAATTAGTATATTTCTGGTTTGATAAATAGTGTACGAAACTGTCTACATGGCATTCTTCTGAAACTTTTTGTGTTTTGGGAGATAAAAATATTCGAACAATGTAAATTACCATACTGACCCCAATATAGGATGACCCTAATTATAAGACTATTTCAATAAAATATTTTTTGTTGAATTGCTAAAAATTTTATTTAAATAATATTGCATTGAAAGATTTTTGCAATTAAACAGTTAAAAGTAAAAATGGTAATGACATATTTAATTGAAATCTTGCAAACTTCAACTCAAATGCAATCTGAACTTTGCAAAGAGAACGTCTCAAAAACCTGTATGAGGCTTTTCCTCACAGACGTCCTCTGCCTCGCTGCACTCGCTGTCACTCCTACCCTCACTGTGCCGCTCTGCAATTTTTTGATAAGAATTTCTTGTGCTGTTCGCATTTTTCCATTCTTTTTGAACATGCCATCTTCTAACATTGCAATGCCTCCGCTGCATTGACTGTGTTTATTTTACAGTTGGCATCATAACTCCGCCTCAGATGTATGCAAACTTGTCTGACTTTTGCTCCTCTCCATTCTGGGGAGTGACTATTTGCAATATCCTTGTCACTTCTCTGTTGTGATTAAAATTTTAAAAAATAACTCCATCCACAGTGAGGTCACTGGCTTTACAAAAATCGTGCGCCCTCTGCTGTTGCGTTTGTGTAGCGACCAAAGACAACTGTCGGCCTGTAAAATTGGTTAGACACTGATTATATGACGACCCCACATTTTCGCTTCATTTTTAACGAAAAAAAATGTGTTATATTCGGGCCAATATGGTACTTAACTTTTTCCTGCTTTCGTGTAACATGCTTTCTGTACAATTCAAGGAGGAAAAAAAGGCAATGAGGGGAAAATAAGAAAAAAATAAATAAAATGGCTCCAATAGCTTGAAATAATGTAGACAGCTTTAAAATGTTTTTATTGCAGATTAATTAATCATCTTTTTTTAAAAGACAGACCCACCTAGAAAATAAACCTGGAACAAAGTTTAACTGATATTGATGTCTTGTCCGTCATTGTCATCCAAACATTAGATGCATCCCTGCTCCAATAAACCAAGTCAGATTATTTCCTCAGGATGTTAGCAAGTTTTCAGAGGCCTGGTAATGAGCTGTTTGCTTAATTCTGGTGTGGTGTGAATAAATGTTAAGGTTACAGGATGATGGGTTTTTAACACTGGAGTTGGACAACCCTGAACTTAAGAGAAAATTTGAGAAGGTATGAAAGTCCTAAAGGATGGAGGGTTATAGTAGTAAAGCGTGCCTGCTATTTATGGAGGCTATAGTCCTTGAAGCAACTATCCTAGTGTGCATCCAGAAAGAATTCACAGTTCTGCACTTTTTTCACATGTGGTGATGTTACAGCCTTTTTCCAAATGTATTCATCTCTTTCCTCAAAGTTCTACATAGAAAAACTTCATATGTTTGCTAGAAATGTAAGACTGAAAAGGCAATGTTATGGTCCGACATCACTGTAATTCCAGGTATATAACAAAATACACAGAACAACGCCTAGATCAGAGAAAAAACATCATCAAGAGTCCAGAACTAAATATCTAAGCACCTAAGAGGCGTTGTGGACAAAAAGTTTTCTTAGTTTTCAAGCATGATGTAGGATACTAATAGGCTATTGCAAGAGTCAAACACATGCCTTTTTTGGATGTAACAAGCGATCTTAGCAGGATCTGTATTTCTAGTACTGAAGTCATACCATATCCACTGTCTCATGCTTGGTAACTGTGATGCCTGCATGGGTCAGAGAAAGTAGAGCACTACTTCTCCTTCAGTTTGCACCACAGTTTCACAAATGCCTTTCCAAAATTAGAAATGAAGCATCATGAAACCTGCGTTGACTAAACTGCTATTGACACTCAAAATGCAAGACTTGTATAATAGTTTTCATCCATTTCCAGATCTGCAATCTTTCTTGATCATTTCTGTCCAATGTTAGCAAGGTCCTCAAATGTGACCTTGTTTCTAAGTTGAAGTTTACAAAAAAGAAAAATTATTTTAGTACAGACCAAGAAAACAGACTAAAGGACTTTCCTATTGTGAGTACACAGTATACAGAATTATAGCACTGATGTTTGTTCTCCATAACATGTAACCACCTTTACCCTCCACCTTCTGGGCCACTTCATCCATTGCACTGAGATCTTCAAACAGCTCACCCATATGACACCATAGACGCTGTCTGCACTGGGATTCATCTGTGAAGACAACACGTACCGAAAGTGTAGACGTCATTGTAAATTAGCATTTTCCCATTCAAATCAGTTTCAATGAGTTGCAGTCGGGACAATACCCTGATGAAGACAACGAGCATGCAGAGACTGAGATGTTTCTGAGAGCTTATGCAGAAGTTCCTTTGTTATGCAAAGCAATTGTTGTAGCAGCTGTCAGTAGTGCCAATTTTCAAACAGTCTAGTTGAAGATGCTGTCAGCCTTGGCTAAGTGGGGCTACAGTGGTCTGCAGTTCTACCACCAATTCTCTGAAACATCTTAAAAGACGGCTTATGGTAGAAAGAGGAAGGTCTAGTTCATGGTTAATAGCTCTGGTGGGCATTTTAGCATTCACAATATAAGAAACTTGAAACACCTGTGCCATTGTGCTGTTTGACGAAACCAAATGTTTTACAATGCCATTTTATTCAGGACAGCCTAAGGCACACCTGTGAAATAATCATGCTGTCTAATCAGCATTTGGATATGCCACACCTGTGAGGCAGATGCATTATCTAAGCAAAGAAGAAGGGCTTGCAGAATATACTGTATATTCAAACAGATCTATGAACAATATTTGAGAAAGAAAGGTATTTTATCTACATAAAAAGAGTCCAACATCTTTGGTTTGAACAAAACCGTCTTGTATTTGTGTTTGTCTTCAGTGTGTATTGTGATGGTTTAATTGGTTTCACATTGATGAAACAGGAAAGCTAATATAATTTGTCTAAGTATTAATTTTATACTGCAAATTTAGTGTTTAAAGAATGGTGAAGCTTTTTTATACAGTGTCTAAAAAATCTAGGATTATGCAAACTGCACTCTCCAGTTACTGCCGGCAGCTGTTCTTCCTTACCGATGAAGCTCAGCAAACATGGCTCCAACACAGGTGAAGTCATAACACATGTCAGCAGTGCTTAAGGCTGTCATTTCTAAAACAGAGAAAACACAGGTCATAAAGTGCTTTCTTTCTCTGAAAAGGATTTTCTTACCATTTTTGATAAAATTTTATTTATTCCTGTAGGGAAGCTTGTATACAGTATATATTTCATTCAGTGTATCTTCCTCTCTTGTTCATCTGCTTTACTCATTTGTGTGACAGAAAAACAAATGATCCAGATATGTCCACAATGAATCCCTATTATCAAATGAATAATCAAGATCATTTTACACAGGAGAAAAAAGGGAAAACGCCATCCTGTATTTGGATTAGCTCCATTCAATGGGAGAAATTTATTCTAAGAAAGTTCCTCAAGAAATAAGGATGGAATCTTAAAAGTCACCTAAAGCATTAACATATTGAACATTTTAAGGGATAGTAAATTTATTTTACCAAGGTAAGCAATTCATGAAGGTTTGTAATGGTATGCTATGTCACCTGCCAGCATAACTGTATTTAGCAAAGAAATCCACAGAATGATAATTCATTTTGCTTTAGAGTAACTATTTCAGAAGCTGTTTTCCTTAAGTCCTGAATGCACAAGAATTTACAAGCAGACTAAGATAGAAATGGAAGAACTTATGTCAAGTTATTTGATCATCAGTATTGCATCATTTTTAGGACATAATTGCAAACCATCTAAGGTCCATTGGTGTATTCTACCATAATTTTCTTTAAAAGAATTCTGCCGTTTCAAAGATCTCATGATGATGTGCATTCTAGTGCAACTTTTTGTTTACTTAATGATTGTACTCAAAGAAAAGGATAATGTTGCTTTGACTGTGTGTGACTCTATCATTGAAATAAGAAAAATACACTCAAAAGTTGTTTCACCTCTTTACTTGGGCTGCCAGAATCTGTATTTTCCCACTTCTCAGTCAATGTTTATATATTTTCCTTGGACTATTTCACATCTTTAGGTATCCTTGGTGCTATCGGCACTTCAAGCAGGAAACAAAGGGACCCAGGCCTGCATCACCGCTGCCAGCGCTGTGTCAGGAATTATTGCTGACTTGGACACCACGATAATGTTCGCCTCAGCTGGAACGCTGAACCCTGAGAACGAAGAAACATTTGCTGATCACAGGTGCTTTTAACCTCAATGAAAACAGTATAAGCCGTCGGAAAAATTGGGGCTGAATTAAACAAACATTCTGTAGAGAGGTACTTGAGATGTTAAAGCTGTTGGTGGGAAAAGAAGCAGCTGTGTTTTATATTGTTGGTGCTTTATAATGACTATAGAGCAGATTGTCACACAATGTGTCCCATCCCTCAGGGAAAGCATCCTGAAAACAGCCAAGACACTCGTGGAGGACACCAAGCTGCTAGTGGCAGGGGCTGCCTCCACCCAGGAGAAATTGGCTCAGGCTGCACACTCCTCAGCCAAGACCATCACTCAGCTTACGGAGGTTGTCAAATTGGGGGCGACCAGCATGGGATCTGATGACCCTGAGACACAGGTGATGAAAATCCATAGTACATGCACACAAATCAATGTATCTTTTTTAATGTAAAAAAATGCACATTTGGTTTGCCATTATAGTTTTATTCAATTGAATCTTAGCTGTTCACAGCATCCTGTGTTAGATTCTCTTTGACTCTCATTTCATCCTACATTGTGCCTCTTCTTTCCCCTGAGTGCATACTACTATCTCTACTTTCCACTAAGTCTGAAGTATCATGACTAGCTCAGAGCGATAAGTGCTAAATCCGCTCCCCAAAGCACAGCTGATAAGCCTACACTCTGACCATTCTGCTTTATTGATTCCATCATTATCTTCTCAGGTGGTTCTTATAAATGCAGTACGGGATGTGGCCAAAGCTTTGGCTGAGCTCATAGGTGCCACCAAATGTGCTGCTGGCAAAGCACCTGATGACCCGTCCATGTATCAGCTGAAAAGCGCAGCAAAGGTAAGGGAACAGAGCTCTGAAAGTCATTACTGTCACATCTCTTTACTTGGTGGATTTCTCTCACAGTAAGCCTGACAGCTGATAGGGGGAGTCTACAGTTATACATGCTGAAAAAAAAAACCTTTTGTGTTATTACCTCTAGATTGATGTCTGGCAGCAACAACTGAGCTTTGATTTTTATACAACGATGATGTGACTGGTCTTATCAGAGTGTTTGCCTTCTTTCTCTGTGGGACTTGAGTCCTCACTAAAATATGTTACTATGTATTTGTCAACATGAACAAGAAGGTTGGCAAAATTCACTAGAATTTATAAAGATATCAATTAAAAGTATAAGTTAGATAAAGTATAACTGTTTTTATATACTTTGGAGGTTCTGTTTTTCCTTTCCTTTTTAATATGTTCACTATCTAAAACTCTCTTGGTAACTGCCCCTGTTGGCTTTACAAAACAAAATTAGAACTAAAAAAAAAAAGGTTATTAACCATACATGGGCTAAAATAAAAAACTTTTTTTGGCCGTAAATATTAAACGATAGCATTTAATATGTACAGCAATTTAGGTAATTTAAAAATTGGTTTACCATTCCAAAATACTTTTCTTTGAATCTAACGTTTTTTTAATTTTATTGAAAAAGATTTCAGTAAAAAAAAAATGTAAAGGGCAATGCAATGCAAATTCAATTTGCAGGTAGTTTTTCAGGAAATCTTTCTGCAGAATTCACTGTTTTGTCATTGTGCTCTTTATCATGTTTCACAAGCTTAAAAAAGCCAGGCTTGCAATTGTAAGCTTAGCAGAGATGCTGGGAGTNAGCCAGGCTTGCAATTGTAAGCTTAGCAGAGATGCTGGGAGTCTGGGAGGCTACTGGTACAACAGTTTCAAAGCAACGTATCTTTAACAATAATAATGGATAGTGAACCATTTTAATTTTACACTATAACTCTCTGTGTCTTAAATGTGCAGATACGGTTCCAGAAAGGGTTTTTAGCTGATTGTAGGGGTTTAAATCAAAAACCTTATCTTGATAGGATGTTAAGATGTTATATTTATTTCTTGGATTAAAATGGAATGTTTGCAAATATCACAAAGTCTTGCACAATATGACTTCTATTCAATTCACATGTCTATGGTCAGTTTGATGCAATGTTATAAGTCCATTTAACACAATTATTTAATTTGATACCACCTAACAAAACCCAATGCATTTTAACCATTTGATTATTTCTAAACTCTTGCAAACATTTAAATAAAATCAGCATCGTCTAATTATAAGAAAACACTAAAAGTAATAGATCGCATGTTCACTATAGTTTGTGCCTAATGAATTTACAAATAATATTTTAAAGCTAATTATCCGTGTTGATGTTTTTTTTCACTATATAATTGGATTGTTAATCATTTAAGCAATGACTTGATATGGATCCATGTATGCTGATTGGCAGTGTGCTGTGGGAATGGGCTGAGAAGGAGTAACTCACTACTCCTGCCAAAAATACTGTCTCTTTTTTCCATCATGTCGTTAAAGGAGACCAAAGGCCTGAAAACAATGGAGATGATTAAGCTTCCGATCTGATGGAAAACTGGATGGCATGAAGTCATGGCACTTAGATCTCATTGAAAATTGATGGGCTAGTCAAACCGCACTCGATTCTCTGCAACTTTGCTGGCGTAGTTCCTTGATCTATTTTGGTCAGACCTATGCAGCTACTATGCAGCATATATATGGTGACCCAAATCTGGTCTGATAGACAAAAATAATCCATGCATGTCGAGTCTTCGGATCCTTGGGAAGACTGAACATTTGTTCATTAGCACCAGTGGAATATTCTGTTTAAAATTCAGGCAATTAATTTTAAAGTACTTGTTTTCTCCTGCTGTTTCTCTATTTGTCAGGGATTTAACTGAACTATATCAGTACTCTGAAAGCTGTCACATAACAAATTAAGAGCAGATTCTGTGAATACACTCATTGCACATGCTGGATGAAATAAAAACATCATCTAACAAATTACAAAATTACACTAGCCTATTTGTGAGTCTTTATTTCTTGGCTTATTTGGGCGACACTGTTGTTTATGTTGTGTATTTTCCACACAGCATTATAACAGTAATGTGTTCCCAACAGCTGCACAAAATGTGTTGCACTTTTGTTTTATGACCAAACCCAGTGTAATACATAGTGAGGGAGGAAAAATGGCTGACCAAGAAAAATGCCTGTTAAAAGTGTTTGAACCCAAAACTCTCTAAAAAGCAGGAAAAATGTGAAACAAATAGTCAGCAGGGGATTTGTTTCTTGCAGAGGTTAAGGAATGCTTCCAACAATGAAATGAGCAGCTTACAACAGTGAAATGAACATTACCATTTAAAGTGCAGCAATGATCATCATGTAAACAGTATAGGAAAAAAGGAAAACCAGTTTTTCAAAAATAAATGGTGCAAAAGGGCGTTAATATGGAAAGGTTCAGTGCAGTGCAAAATAAATATGGTGCAAAATGCAGTAGGCTATAACATTGAGTTGTGTCTTATTTAAAAGGATTTAAAAAGATAAATACAAAGATAAAGTTGTGTTTATCAGGTTGATAATTATATACAATACAGCAAAAATCATCTGAAGGAACCTGTCGTACCTATATTAATGTCCCTAGTGCAGAAATTATCAATCTGAACTATGCACTACATATTTTTAATGATATGGTAAGGTTTATAAAAGGTGTTTCAGACTATTTTGGCTGTAATGTATCGTCAAAAAAAAATAAAAATAAAAAAAAGCCAAAAAAAGCATTGCACTACATTTAATAAGATCAGTTGGAAAGGTTGTAATTTTATTTAAATATTCTGCTTTGAACACTGATTAAAGAAGATAAATAGCATACTACAACACTTTACAGTTGATCTAATGCTTGTCTATATTACTCTTATAATCTACACATGCGTACTGCACTAGTTGCAGACACAAACTCACATCAACAGTAAGAAGAAACTTAAATCAACTTATGTACTGTAGTGTGTCCTTTCAAAATATAGTCTCAACTGAAAAATATTCAGCACATTTTCAAGTTGAGACATTATGGGGGGTTCTTATTTGTCCACAGTTGGATATTTTATATAAGTAAAACTCTGAAAATGGACAAGCTGCTGCTGAAAGGTAAAACTGACATTAGAAGGCGTCATGAACTATGGGCATTCCTTGATTATGTGGATCAATTTGTCATTAGAGCTCCTTGCAGTGGAAAACCTGGGATATTTTTGGAGTGCAAAGATAATTTCATTAATAGTTTTTGGTTCTTTTTCATGTCCTCACAAAAAAAAAAAAATGAAGTAGAGGATTCCTTAATCTACAAATCCATAGCTTCACATGGCCTTGAACAACAAAGTTTGCAGTAGGTTTTGAACTCACAACCTCAGGATTCCAAGCTCTATGCCCTAACCACTAGGCTGCCACTCCCTCAAAACCACAAACTGTGGGGCAGCACTAATAGATGCAACATAGCAAATGCTACTGATATCATTAAACGCTTGCTAATGAAATTATGTTATTAATATTTATAAGAAAAATATATAAAAATAAAATGACAGCATACACAATGTCACTGCTGTCTTTCTTACATACAATCATCTACCAAACAGGTTTTTTTTCCCTTTAGGAAAACTAATGAACACTTGCTCTAAAAACAAACCTCAGTGTTAATTATATTTTCTCATCTTTATGCGTTTTGAACATCTGCACTGACAGTCTGACATAGAGCAGAGAGATTATTTCTGTAATGGGTCTATTTTAGTGAAATGAATCAAGAACTGATGGAATTTTTGAAAAACTTGATCTTTTCCAACTTTCATCACAGATTAGTGTAGTCACCACATCAAGCATTCCTAGTTGTAACAATGGCCTCTGTGTATTCCTAGAATATGTTTCGCCTTATGCCACCTGCAAAAATTTCCAGATTGTAGTTATTTCACTGAATATTAATTCAGGAAGCTTTGATGACTACTTTTGGTAACAGTTAACGTTTCTGTGATGTTTTTTCTTTTTGCCTTCAAGAAGCTTAATCTACAGACTTTGCAATTCTCCCCTTATAACACTGTTCTTATTGTTCCAACAAAGCTCATCAAGAACACAAACTGTGTATTGTTTCATGTTTCGCACTAACATTTTTCCAATGAAGCCAAGGCATGCTTCTGTCCTATATGTAACATCTGCGTTTAATACATGTAAGATTATTAACTATATATTATATAAGTGTGCAACAATGTACTGTTGTTAACCAGAGTAGAATCAGTCAGAAAATTGGGTATGAGACGATTACATGAAATCTGATGTAAGAACTGTTGGATCTGATTGCACCCATCTGTATTATTGATTACACCTTTAAGACAATATGCTGTCTAAAAAATAGGTGGTGGTTGTCTAAGGTTGAAGTGTTGTTAAGATAACTGACAGAAATTTCAGTAGAATATACTTTATTTTAGATCTTAAAACATGTCTAAAAGGTCACTGTTGCCTCTTTTATTGTTGAATGACCAAACATGCAGATCTCTGAATAATGATCCAATCCATCAAGAGCAATTGTTTTGTAGTAACACAGCTGCAAGTGCCTCTCAACAGATCAAAACAATGATTTATTTTGAACATTTTGTTGAACCTTGCTCTGCTTATGTATGTTTTACTAATTTAAGCAAGTACCAAACCATCCAACACACATAACTGTTGCAACAGGATTACTTGTGTTTTCTCATCTAAATGGAATTAGGGCCACCCATGGATGTGTTCATGTTGACAGATTGGTTCAGTTCCTCTAACATATGGTGACCTCTGAACAGGATGTTATCAAAGTCCCGCCGACCATGTTTTTCAAATTCCAGAGTCAGTTTACTGCAGTTTACTGGATAGTAAACAGCATGCCATGATACTGATAGAGCAGTGTGGAATGGGTCCGTCAATTATTATGTTTAGCATTGGTATTAACTGCACAATGATTAGAGAAATATATATATAAAATGTCTTTGTACTTTAAAATTATTAGCCCCAAAGGAGGAAGTGCTCCACCTATTGGTTTATGCTCAGGCCTCACTTTTGCTTTTGTCACCAACAGGTCATGGTGACCAACGTGACCTCTCTTCTAAAAACAGTGAAGGCAGTGGAGGATGAAGCCACTCGGGGGACAAGGGCACTGGAAGCCACCATCGAGTTCATAAAGCAGGAGCTGACAGTGAGTGTAGCTGACAGGCCAAGCCTCTTTATGGTGTGTTGAGAGTTAAACATTGAGAAGCAGCCTCTCTGCAAAGCAGGGTCGGCGATATGTGTCTATTATTCTGAACAACACAGGGAAGCTCTATGTTCTTTTTTTCCCTTTATTATCTGTCCAGCTCTGTTCCTTCTCCTCTCTCAGCCCCTGCAGACTTTCCCACAGCTCTTATCGGGGTCTTGCTAACGGCACAGCCAGTGTGAGAAATGAAGAAGTTTCAAGAGCTTGTTCTTATGTAATTTGCTGCTAATCCTTATCAGACGACTTTTAGCTTAAACGGGGTTTTATAGAGACCTACAGACTGCAGTTCAGGCCAAATTCCTCAAAGTTCATGTTTTTACACTACTTTTATCTTTTTTAATACCTTTTCTCTCCAGTACACTTCTATACACTGTGTTTATTTTATCTCTGAGCACATATCCAGCCTCATGTTTGTGATTCTTCATCACATCAGGTGTTCCAGTCCAAGGACATTCCGGACAAGTCTGCCTCACCGGAAGAGTTCATCCGCAACACAAAGGGCATCACTGTAGCTACAGCCAAGGCCGTGGCTGCAGGCAACTCTGCTCAGCAGGAGGACGTGATCGCCACGGCCAACCTGAGCCGCAAAGCCATCACTGATATGCTGACTACCTGCAAGGTGCTAATCCACTCCACCCTGCCAAAACAGGCCTTACACAGACAACAGTGGACTGTCAGGGAGCGTGTGAGCCTCTTCCTGCTGAGAGCAGATAATATCGAGTCAAGTTTATTTTCAGGATACTTCTGTGGGAAGTGACTCAGTCAGTGTTCAAAGTCAGGCTAGAAAACATCAGTTAGATATCCTCTTGCACCTACGGATCGGTTTTTAGGAACACAAAAATGGGTGGATCATTGGCAGGTCAGGCAGTGTTTTTCCACATTTAATCATCAGCACAGTTTGTTGTGGTTACGGATTTTTAATTAAAGTGGAACCAATCAGAACTTTAACCTGACTTCAAGTTCTTCACTTGACCAAGCTTTACAGATTTCAAACAAAAAAAAAAGTCTAAATTTATTTAACACCTTGTATGACCATTGTATAAGGTTCACTTTCTATTTTGGGCCCTCTACAGTGTATATCCTAATCTCTACTCTGTGGACTGTTGAATGAAGCAGTTGGCAGGGTTTATTGTAGAAAATGCCAATCAGCCTTTTAGTATTAAAATAAACTTCAAAGGATATAATAGCATTTTTTTTTTTTGTCCGAAATATTTTCTAAACTTATTTAATTTGTGCTTGTGCATACCAGCTATGACGGAAAAGTAATTAAATTTTTTCCTTTTCATATGTGTAATTTGAAAGTACAGTACATAAACCATTATCTTCCCCTACCGGAAAAGAAACCTGATTTCAAAACCATGGAGCATGAACAAAATAAAAATAGAATTAAAAATTGTTTAGTGTATACAAAGGTATGTTATGGACAATTCTAAATGTAGAAAATACATATTTTATGAAGAGAATTGAGTTGATGAATCTGGGGAAAAAGTAAAGCAAACAGCAGGAACAAAGGAATTTAAGAATAGATGAGATTGCTGTCTTTTGTGATCCTCTTCGGCACCAAGAATTGTCTATTTCTAGTCCCAGCATTGTTAAAACTAAGGATAAATGTAAGCCAGTTAGCCTTCCTGCTATCTGCTACGATTCTGAATGAATCACAGTAATGTCTTTTAATCTTATTTTAAAAGTCTCTTAATTAATATCTTCATAGTTTATTTTCCTTCTCAGGCTTTTATTGGACATGTTAGCTTTTAGGTTTCGAGGGGTTTTAAACACTTATTATTTGAATAAAGTGATCAAATGTCCTTTTTAAGATAGTTCTCTTATGTTACAGCAAGCTGCACACCATCCAGATGTGGGGGAGGACTTGAGAGGAAAAGCCTTACAGTATGGCACTGAGTGCATCACAGAATACATCAACCTTCTGGAGCAAGTGCTGCAGGTCTGACTAGTAGATATGTCAGAGATCTATGTGTGCATGTATACTTATAAGCTCTTTTATTGGGAAAAAATATTGATACAGTTTCTTCTCTATCTTATGGTTTGCTGTTCTTACTCTTCTGAGCAGGAAACCCTTTTTAAAAAAAGAGTTCAATGAATAATTCAGTCTATATAAATTAAGGCACATTGTTTTCCAATAAACTCTATGGATTACAAAGTTAATCATTTCTGCAATATAAGATTAAATGTTGAAAAGTTCAAGAAAGATTTCTCATTGAAAAACATGAAGAAAAATTTCAAATTCTCACTTCTTGAAAGATTTAAAAATTCTGATCATCTTTCTTCTTTTATATGTTTCCAGTGAGACTCGTTTTCACATTAATGTTGCTTTTTTAGCAAGCTTATGCAACAGAACCATTTCCTTTTTAAGAAGAGGTCAATAGAGCACATTTTATCAGAAGGAAATAATGAAAATAATACATCTTCAGCAGATCAAACAACATTGAACTTAAACTGAACATGTAATGGGTATATAAAAGTGTTTTGCTTTGCTTTATTAACCCTTTTATGTTTTATTTTTCTAATTATCTTAGGAAGAGTTTACTTTAACATTTTAGTTCATGACCTGGGAGTATAATTTCAGCTGATCCCTGCTTCTTCAGTTTTTACGTTACAATGTTATGCTTTACTGTTTTCAGGTGCTGCAGAGACCCACTCCAGAGCAGAAGCAGCAGCTGGCCGTGCATTCAAAGCATGTGGCTGCCTGTGTGACAGAGCTGGTTCAGACAGCTGAGGCCATGAAAGGTGACATCAACAAACATAACACATACATTCACCACCACTCACTTTGCTAATCAGACACCTCTAGACTTTGAATATAGCTCTCTGCTTTTTAGTCACTTATGCCCCAATTTTGTCTGATGTAACATTTTAATGTAGGATTTTTTTTTCTATTGAGGAAGGCAGTCAAGTGAACTTAGTGCTCTTTTTTTAAAGACATAAGTTGAAAAAAATCATGAAAGTAGAAACAGACTGGGAAAAGAACACTGCAAGAGTTTGTTATAGAGTATACTGTGAGTCTGTATAGTGTGTTATTAAGAAAAAAATCAGTGTGCAGCAAATTTACATTTCACCTGGCAAAGATGTGTTAAAAGGCTTAGATAGGCGCTTAAATTGTCTTTTCCTTTTATAGTTTAATGCCGTAAAAAAGAAAATTTATTAGATATGTTTAATTAGCCATAGAAAGGTCCACAATGAATGGTCAACATTAAAAGTGGATACATGTAAAGTGCTAGTCAGCCGTGTTCCTGATTGATTGATTGATATTAAAATGATTTAGTTACATTTGTAAAGATCAATAAAAGATGGGCCAGTGGTTATTTCATGTTCTTTTTTTTTTTTTCAAATGAAGAGTTATTTGCATCACAGGCTGAATTTCTGTCACACTATTGCACTAAAAGATGAATTATTATTTTTGTATTTATTAAGTCTTTTTGCAGATCTTTCCTGAGGGGGGCCAATAAATGAGTCCGTAGCTGTTTCTCATAAATATTATGGAGATTCTAATTTCAAAATGACTGTAATACATTATTTGGAAGGCAGAGCAGAGGGAAACCGGCTAAGATGGATTTGTGCAACACATTCAGCTTGATGGGTGGGGGAGGGGAGGGGGGTGTCCTGGTGGGGGTCATTGTAGTTTGATGAAATGTAAAAATCCCTGACAGGATTTTGGGGGTGATGAAGATTAGTGCAATCCTCCTATGCATGGAAAACACAGCAGCGCCAGCGAGTCAAACCACAAAAACCTTTCGCCATCTCTAATAAAGATGGCTCCATATTTTCACTTTAGATTATTGAAATCATAGCATAAGGTAATTTCCCATGCAAAGTGCACCAAATGAAGCTTTGTAGGGTGGTTAAGGAATTGTCTACGCATGCCGAAGTACTGCATCTGACAGGGCTAATAGATTGTGTTTGGGTGAGAATTAGATTTCAGAGAACAGCCTGACACACAGTGGGGCTATCCACTTCACCTCTCTAATGTCCCATGTGGTCTCTCTTTTTTCTCTCCTCCCCCTTCTTTCCTTGCTGCCTCAGATGGAGGTAAGTGGTATATGGTGTGTTTTGTTCACCAAGATCAACTTTCATCAGGGTCAGTGGGGGGCCAAAGAGTGGGTTTGGGTGAGGAGCAGATTTCCCGAGCGGTCAACACAATCTATAAACATCATCCCCATCTGTTTCACCAAGCTGTCCTTTAGAAGCTAAGCTTTATGGACATTTAAAACCCTATAAAAAAAAGACAATGATCTATCTGATGTGAATTTCATCCTGCTTACCTTTATCTCATTTTGCCAATTGGTATTATTGTTATATAGGAAACATTTAAGTGTCATTAAGATGATGAAAGGATGGTTTAACTGCGCAGTTAAATGGAAATGCATTGTAGTTTTCTCCCTTAACCTTTGGTGTAAACGAATCAAAAAAAAAAAAGCATCAGTAATCCGATGTCTGCTATCGATCTTCTCCAGGATCAGACTGCGTGGACCCCGAGGACCCCACAGTCATCGCTGAGACAGAGCTCCTCGGAGCAGCAGCGTCCATTGAAGCTGCAGCCAAGAAACTGGAGCAGCTCAAGCCCAGGGCCAAGCCCAAGGTAACAAGTGCCCCACTCAACCTTTTTACGCCCACTCAAACCTAAACACTGCTTTCTGTGATTAATCAGCCAGGAAGATGATGTGGGATGTAGGTAGAAAAAGGTGACGCTGATTTTGAAGTGGAGGCATCTTTTTCTGTAACTGATCTGCTGACATGGAATCATGAAAGGAGAAGATGAGACTGTGTTACACATACACAGTATGTTGACTCAGAGTGCTCTTCCAGTGAGCTAACTTACAAAACTTTCTTCAAAGCGTCTCTTGAACATTATTTTCAACTGCATTGCCAGGAGATGTAATTACACAGCTGGGTTGTGAAGCTTATGTTGGATAGAGCTCAAATGTGCAATGAACTGCTGTGACCCTTTGTGAGAGAGAAATTCTCTGTCCTATTGAACTTATTTCCTTTGTTTTCTAGCAGTGTTTTTCTTCCCTAATCTACTACTGATTTACCTCTGTACTCTCACTACAGGTCAAAACCCAAATTTTGCTTGATGCAAAGACAAAATGTGTGATAATCACAGCTATAAAACTGCTGTTATGTATTTTTTATTTTTCGGAATTTAAGAAGGTCTTGTTTTTGTGGTGTGCTTTGCATGGTTGTGCCGTTTATCTGTTTCTGGACATTTGTGGTCTTGTGTCACAGAAGCTTACCTCCCCTTGTCATAATCATAATTCTTTCTGTAAATGGCGTTATCAGTCCAACCTATTTATGTGTGACATCAAAATGTATAGATTTAGGTCGCTCTTTTTCTAATAAAGACCATGCAGACCCTTGGGTCATACCATGAATATTATAATTCTATGTCAGCAGGCTGAATTTAAGAGGATTTGGTGTTTATGAAAGGAAATCAATCAAGGAAAGGCTTTTCATATTTATTTGTCAGTATCTCCCCCTAGTGGACATTTTGACAAAAATTATACATTTGTGAGAGATATTAGACAGTTTTTTTTTAAACCACTATACTTATTTTATTTAATCTGAGAAAGGTTTTGTGGTTCAATAATTTATGAAGTTAGAGGTCCAAACATTTTAAAAAACATATTAGTAAGTATTTGGTGGGATCACCTTTCACTGCAATCACAGCTGTAATTTTAGGGAATTTTTTTCCAGCTTTGAGACTGAATTCTTTTTATTTATTTTAAATTTTTTTGTCGTAAAAAACATTCATGCGGTCTTAATTGGATGGAGAAACACCGTGAACATCATTATTTAAGCCGTGCTGAACTTTCTGATTTTGACATAGGTCTGCTTTGGACGGTTGTGGCACTCAAATGAACTTTAGTAAAAAACATTCTAGCGTAGATCAGTTTCTATATCTATATTAAAGAAATAATGTTTTGAAAAATTCAGCTTGTGAAAAATAATATTTTTACATCCTAGTCAGCTATTTAATTTAGAACACCTACAGAGTTTCAAAACTCTCCAAATGGTTTCAGACTTGACCAGCAAGCTAAACAACCACAGATACCCAAAAGACAGTCATTGAGACACTACACAAGTAGGATGACCTACAAAAAATCTTTGCTTTAGCAATACTAGTTCTGTATTCAAGCATATTCATAGAAAGTTTAATGAAGAGAAAAGTGGAGGAAGACATTCACAAGCAACAATCACGGCACATCAAGAGCCACTATACAGAGACACATGGGCTGCAATGATGCATTCTTCATTGTGAAGCCAATCCTTTTCCAGGGACAATGTCCAGGGCATTCTAACTGAGCTAAGGAGGAAAAAAAAACAGTGTTGCCCGGAGGTCTAAAATATATATTTAAACTGAAATTGGCAGTACATCTGGTTTTAGAGTCTGGAAGAAGAGTCCATAGGCATAGAACCCCTTTTTTTTTTAAGTCCAGGGTCAATTTTCCTTAGTTCAGTGGTTTATAAAACTGGGCCATCAGTACCCGCTGTCCTGCATGTTTGAGATGTGTCCCTGCTCCATCACACCTGCATCAAATGGTTGCACTCCCTCTTCGGCCGCCGCCACAGGCTGCAGGGGGCTACTAATCACCTATTTATTAAAGTCAGACATGTAGAGGCAGGGAAAGGCCTGAAACATGCAGGACATTGGGCTTGAAGACCACTGAGCGTGTCATGCCATCTGCTATAGTTGGTCCACAGTCAGTGCAGTTATTGAACAGAACATTTTTGAATACTTAATGGTTGCTTTTGATAACAAGCTTATTGGAGATGAAGATTTCATTTTCCAGTCTTGCTACATGAAGTTGCTTCCAAAGGAAACAAAGGCTGATTCTATATCTATGCTATTACTGTGGTGGATTGGTCAGCAACCTCCCCTGACAGGAATCAAACGGAGAAGAGATCTTTAATTCTAGTCCTAAGGTCTTTAAAGTCTGATTTCATGCAAGTATTAGAGGTAGCTCTTTTTCATCACACCTGAATCAAAAAATCCACTCATCAACAGGATTCTGGAGAACTTGAGTGCATATTGAGGAGGTAATTCAGCCATTTCATTCGGGCCTGTAAAAGCAGACGCATTTAAAGGTGCAGGGCATTTTAAGACCGCTGTCATAGAGAATCTGTGGGATATTGTCAAGAGGATGAGATATTTCACATCCGAAAATGCAATTGTGGCCTCTATTACACCTCAGCAGAAACACAGGCTGATCGCATTCATGACAGTCCACCTTGATGCAGTGATTCATGTTCAAGGAGGCTCAACCAAGTATTCAATTTAAACAAATCAACCTACTTTTTCAGAATTTTGACATTTCTCTATTTCCTTTTTATAGGTCTTATGTAATATTCTTATTTTCTGAGACACTGAATTATATTTTTTAGAACCAGATTTACAGATTGCATTACTAATAGATGTTGTTTCAATTGATTCCATTATCTGACACAGTTGTTGATATGGCGTTTAAAGTTTGGTACATTTTATAGCTGTCTACCCCTGTCTTATATTTCATATCAACTTTATCATTACCCATCTGGTGTGTTCCCTGGTGTTAATTTTAAGGTGTGTGTTCACAAATGTTTTTTCAATAGCGTTTAAATTCCACACATACTGACTCTTATTTACTAATTAGATGACATCTAGAGGGCATTGATTTAATTTGATCTTATTTATATCAGAGTAAAGAAGGCTTAATTTATATCCATATTGCAAATTTTAGATTTGAATCTACAATAAACCTATAAAACATAATGATCCTTTAAGTTCTAAAACCAGATCCCTTTTATTTATAAAGCACATTTAAAAGAAATTTTGTTTAACCAAAGTGATTCTATAGTGCAAACACAGATCAGACCAAGAAACAAATAATAAAGTATATTTTTAAGAGACACCAAATTAATAAGAGAAGAAAACTGTTGAATGTTTCATGACAAATTTTTCCATGCTATTTTGAGCCATGACAAATAGCACTTCATTTATGTCCTACTATATGTTGTCAGTCATTCATTTGAATTCCCAAAAAGCTTAAATAAAATTTTGATGCATTCGTTAAACACTATATTTGTAGATAGGGTTTAGGATAAATACCCCTGCAAGTCTTTGTATATATATATATATATTTTGTGATTCACAAATAGTTATGTAGCTTTATTCACTGTTATAGAATTAATGCAGTTATGCAGAGTAAAAAAGCAAAACACACTATTATTTATCATAGCTTATATCAGTAAAAAAAAAAAGGTTTTAAACACTTTTAGACTTTGTGTTTCCAACAACCGCTTGCATTCTTCTTCTGTTTTACTCCCACTGCTCTTTTCTCCTTTATAACTTCTGCCCTTTAAGGGTAGACGGCTCCCCTGCTCCAAGCATGCGTCCTACCCACCCCCCAACTCCCTAAGCCATTGTAGACCTGGAAGCCTTCTCTGCAGGGCTCTGTCTGATATGTTTGATATATTAGGTTGTTATTCAGTCCAACTATATATCAAACATATTCCTACAGTGTCCCGCTCTGTCTCCAGCCACGTGTGCCTTATGTGTTTATGGAGGTCTGTGGTCAGTCACATCCTGTTGACCGCTGACGCAGAGAGGGCCATTTGTTAAATGTCCCCAAACTGCACCTCCATGATTTTTCATTCTGTTCTTTAGTTTATTTGATGGAAAAGGACCATTAATACTGAACTTTATATCCCCTAGAATGTATTGTATCTAGTTTTGAATTATGTGAAAAATAAAATTGAAGATCACTATACTTTAAAGAAAACCAACTATTATGGTATCTGTATTATGGCTTTAAGATTCCTAAAAAGTAATTTTTTTTTATTTTTTATTTTAGGGATTTTTGCCTTGGTTTTATCTGTTCATTGCAGATTGAGGCCTGTAACTTTTTGGGGATTGTTTTCTACAGCAGGCGGATGAGACGCTGGATTTTGAGGACCAGATCTTAGAAGCAGCAAAGTCCATCGCTGCAGCTACCAGTGCTCTTGTTAAATCTGCATCTGTGGCTCAGAGAGAACTGGTAGCACAAGGCAAGGTAAAAAAAAAACAACTGTTCTTTGTTTTGCTTTTTCATATGATGTGGAAATACACCTAATATAGATTATACAACTGCTGGGTTAAAGACGTATAAGTTCTGATAATTTGCTTATTTAGTTCTGTGCCTCAGTTCGGTCCAGTCAAGCTCTGGGTTGAGTCAACACAGCAGGATTATGTTAAGGGTTTTACCCAGAAAAATGGGCAAAATGAAAAGAAATCTGACTCCACTTCAATCACTAAGCTGCAATTTGACTTCAGTTTTAAAATGACTAAGATAATAATTAGCAGCACAAACAACAACCACCATATGAAAAAGCCCACTTAGATGAATAAAGTAAATATTTGTATACTTGTATTGACAATATAGTAAAAAAGAGCCATCTCTAATACATTTTAAATTATGTTTAAATTGTTAAATTAAATAAGCACTAGCTTGCTTTAACTGATTAGCAGTTAAAAGGTTAAGTCAAGTGAAAAATGTCCTTCTTACTTAACAATTAATGATCTTAAGTGATTAAACTTGTGCTCAAATCATTAAAGGTATAGTGGAGGATGCATAAACCCAGTATAAACCCAGCATTCGGGTTAAGAAAACAACCCAGCAGTTTTTCATTATTGGTTTGCAAGTGCATGATCCTTTAATTTCTTTTTTTTAGGTTGGATCCATTCTAGCTAATGCAGTAGATGACGGCCAATGGTCACAGGGTCTCATATCAGCTGTAAGTTCCTTTGAGACGTTGCTAAACAAAATGCTGTAGGAAATGTTGAACTCAGTCATAAGTGCTACTTTGTACTTTCCTGTAGGCTCGTATGGTAGCAGCAGCCACCAGTAGCCTGTGTGAGGCAGCTAATGCTTCAGTGCAGGGTCACGCCAGCGAGGAAAAGCTCATCTCTTCAGCCAAGCAGGTTGCAGCCTCTACTGCTCAGCTGCTGGTAGCTTGCAAGGTGAAGGCGGACCACAATTCTGAAGCCATGCGGAGATTACAGGTAACACCTGATTACAGCTTTAAAAGATAAATAGATCATACAGTTGCTAACTTTTTTAACACGTTTCTGCAGGCTGCAGGGAATGCAGTAAAGCGGGCATCAGACAACTTGGTCAAAGCAGCGCAAAAAGCAGCATTTGACAAGACAGAGGATGACAGCGTTGTGGTGAAGACCAAATTCGTTGGAGGCATTGCTCAGGTTGAAGAAAAATCTATGAATGAATCTTGTGAAGTCTTGTGTATAAATCCTCCCGACTGCGATGTTTGCCCTTTTCCGTTAAATGTTACTGAGCGGTTGCGTTTCTTGCCCATTTATCAAAATGTCACAGTTGTTTTTCTGAAATTGTGATGAGCTCCCACAGATAAAAAGCCCATCAGATCTCTTTCAAAGCTGTTTACCAGGTTTGGTAGACACTAAAAGCTAGAAATTATCACACCTCAGAAGACTTTGAACTGCTTCCGTGTTGGAATAGAGAATCTTAATCTTTTGCAAAAGCAAACCAGCAAACAAAGATCAACAATATTTAATGAGTGTTTTTCTGTCATTTTCTTTTTGTTCCTGATTGGATTCCTGTGTCAGTGAGATACTCAACACTACTGAACTTAAGCCTGACATTATTCTGTCTTAACAATATCTTTGTCAGACAGACAGTTCTTAGACCCCAATTTAACTGTAACCACCTGAGGCTCCGATTGACATTTAGAATCTAGGAAAGTAACTAAACAACATATTTATAACTTAACTACAGGGGAAGTGACTATACATGCACTTTTTTTCTTTCTTTTTCAACTGCAATACTGACATAGCAATTTAACTCTAAATTAGTTTAGCTGTTTATAGTTTTATTTACTGCCTATTCACAACAACCTGTGCAATTATATAAAATACCATTTAAATTTAGGTAAATACATGTCAATAGTTTAAGATACAAATTGAATCTGTCTCTTTCTATCCTAATTACAATACAAAGTTGATTGATCAATTTATTGCTATATTTTCTATGTAAGGAATCCATAACCACAGCTCCATTACATTTTCAGACCTCTTTCATTTCATGCAAGCATGTGAAAGAATTAAGAAAATGTGAAAAGGATGAACTCCCTGGCTTTCCCAACATCCAACTATTATTACAAACTAGTTACATTAAGAGGACAGGAAGTGGAGAGAAAAAAAACCCTAAAACACTGATCAAGGAATACCATTTGGGGAAAGAAAATTAGCGAGGGGAACACTTTAATGGCAGTAAAAAATTTATTGTATCTCGCAAAGAGACTCAGCTATGCACAGAAGCATTTAGTTAAGGGATTCTGTGAATATTCACACTGTTAATGGCAGGCCAGCAAAAAACTATTCAGATCAATAAATTATTTTATCAGGCCCAAAATAGATAACACATTTCAAAGCAAAAGCTTGCAATTTTAGGTGACAGAACAGGTTTGTCTCCACTAGTGTGATGTAGTACTTTAATCACTTGGGCTTAAGAGACTGATATACGTTCTTAGCTTATAGGTATAGTGAAGGATGTTCTTCTTCCAGGTAGATCATCAAAGTAAGTGGTCCTCTTTATTGTCAATCATTCTGGTGATGTTTACGTAATGCCGTTCTATATGCTGGTCTCCATTTCACTTGCCGGTGATGAGTCTGACAAAGTTGAAAAATTGCAAATCTTCTTTTGGAAAGTAAGCTTGTATGAGTTATGCAAACAGCAACTTATAAACAGAGCATGCATGAGGGAAATGGGCTTGTGCATACTCTCGCACACGTTTAATAGGCGTTCCCTCTCGGGAGCGGGTACAGGTGCATTTTTTTTTTTTTTACTGGAGAGGGGGGGTCTTTTAAAAAATTTGCGAAAATTCTCCACTGTACCTTTAACTACATTAAGTTTTATTTACTACTCTCAAGGTCATGGAGATAAATTATGACTTAAAAAACAAATCAGATCTGTTTGATAGGCCTCTGATGAAAGCAGGTCCATATATGAGCAGAAAGCTTTAAAATACATTTTTTAATAAGCATTGTTTCCATCAGCTGTCCCTGATTTTTCTCAGATTATCGCAGCTCAGGAGGAGATGTTAAGGAAGGAGCGAGAACTGGAGGAGGCTCGGAAGAAGCTGGCTCAGATCCGGCAGCAGCAATACAAATTCCTGCCCAGCGAACTGAGGGAGGACGAGGGCTGACCAAGCCTGCAGGCGAGAATGCTGATGTACAGATGCCAACATCTCCTCATCAGGAGGCAGTGCTGATGTACTGTCGCCCGCTTTGCTCTGACGTCACTAAAGACTATGTTCAGCACTTGAAACAGGCCTGTTCGTTGACAAAACAAGTGCCTGTGCTTTGTAGTGTACTTGTGTGAGTGTAAGTGTGTGATGTGTTTGTCAGTGAATGGTTTTGATTTTGAGAATTTAATATAAAGAAAGTTCTTAGTGTGAGCAAACAGAGACAAATGGATTGAGTTATTTTCAGTGTGGGTATCTGTGCATCATGAGCGTTACTGACTGTTACAGGCATGAATCAAAGATCTTAAGTATGCCGAATCTCTCAGTAATTACAGAACCCTCTTAGCTATTTAAAGCCTATATGATTAAACTGATGTTCCGAAAATAAAGGTTTGTAGCTCATGATTTATATGAAATAAATCCTCTAAGGATGACTAAAAAGCAGTAAGGGCAAAGCCTCTTTTTAACAGTGGGCTTGCATGCACCATTGCTTTAAACACATATCAATAAAGCTACTAACCAATACCTATAGAGTATTATAGTTAGAAAAAGGCCCTTGTATTTTACTAAGAGTGTTAATCTATGGGGATTGGAGTTAAACAAACATATTTTCTCACTAAATGCATCTAAACTAAGCTGTACTTGACGCCAAACACAAATTGTTTTACTGTAAAAATAACAAGCATTGATCCAAACTATAAATCAAATAGAAAACCAGTTCCTATGAAAAAGAGCGTTATATTCCGATCTAAATGTGACCAAATATGTTTTGCTGCTTGTACAATATTGCACTCAAAGAATCCTATTGATTTGTTTTCCCTAAAATACAGAGAGCTGTATAAAGTTATAAACAGTATTATTACATTGTTTGAGATGTTTTTGTCTTCTTTCATATTTTGAATTTTCATCCGCAAAGTTTCCGTGTCCCCTGTACTCATTCAGGGTTCCTTCACAGTAATTATTGGTTTGGAAAAGGATTTTAGTATTTAACACAACTGGACAAATGGGAGAGAAGATTTTATTGTCTCTTTACACGGTTGTTACCATGATGTCAGCCAGTTTTCATGGAAAACACCCATTGCTGAGTTGAACATATTAGTTTTAGTAGATATTTCATGGAGAGATGTTAATCAGGTGACCAAACAACACTCAAAATCTTAGATCTAAGAATTTTTAGACCATAAGCTTATGTGGAACATTGGAGTTCTGAGTGTTTCTGACTATCATTTATTTACACATTCGGTGTAGTTGTCAATTACACATGATTGTCATATTCATTTTGGATTTTTATTTACTTGTTTGAGCCCTTTTTCCATTTTGTTTTCAAGGCACCTTTAAGAACATGGCTGATTTTCAAAACAACAAGAAAGGGATGGAGAAGTTTGAATTTCCTGTGGTTATACAATTATACGTACAAACTCATGGTTTACTCATGTCAGGATATTTTTTTTTTTTTTAGCATAATTGTTGTTAAATTTGTTGGTGACAAAAAGAATACCTCTATTGTTTTATTAATTCCCAAATCAGTTTGGATGTTTGTTGGGATATTTGTCCTGTTGAAACACCATATTTTGTTCATGTTTTACCCACCCTGCTCTTGATCAGGTTTGAACTCCAGCTTTGCATACTGTAATACAACTTAACTAAATAGCATGCTAGGGATTTGATAGAAAGCTTATAGATTTGAAAAACCTCATCTTGACCAGTCCAATCAAATGTATTCTCTTTTATTCATTGCATTTTAATTTTAAATCGACCAAATTACGTAATTTAACTATATTCCAGATTCCATTTGGTTTATTTTTGTGCATGACTACCAATTTCCAGCTGAATTTCAATGTAGTTATTTTGTAAGCCTGTGCTTTTGGGCCATATGTTTGGTTTCTCCTAAACTTTCTGACAAATTTTCTTTTATCCAAACCTAACAGTTTGTGTCAGATAGTAAACTATTGAGTGTTTCAATCGAACAGTACTTGCAAACACAATCTAAACTGGTTCTGAAAAATGATAAAGCAGGTTTATATTAGGATTAGTATCCTTTATCCAAAAACACCACCCACCAAACTTTTAAAGATTTATTAAAAAACAGTTGAAACACTGATTTGACCGCAGAAACCAGCCATATTAAAATGAATGCTGCTCAGATGTGTCTAAAATCACTATGAATTATTAGAGAAACTCGTTAAGGATGTCTTTGTCTAAACCACAGTCCACAGTTTCTAGCAGGGTTGCTGCAAACAATTATTTCCATCAGAGGACACAAGTTGATAAAAGTAAAATATCAGTAAAAATTGTATTCTGTTTGAGGTATGAATCGTTTTTTGCATTTATTGCTGACATCAAACATGGCCCGATGACTGACCAAGACATACGTTTGCATTGGGGAAAGCAATGTGTTGGAACCCTGACCTAATCACATTTATTTAGATCCCCCAGTCACTGCCTCATCTTACTGAAGTCCTTTTTATATTAGACTCTGGGTCTATGGAAATGAAATACACTGGATATTACAGCAAGGTAATGTTGAGTTACTGCTGTTATTGGGTAGAAAATAAGCTCCTTCCAGTGATATTGGCCGTTAAGCTTTTTTCCCATATCTTTCACAGTAACAGCAGGAGTTCAAGGCTTCCATGACAGAAAATCTTTATTAGAAAACAGCTTTTTGCTCATTTTGAAGAAATTAATTATGTTTTGTTCTATCCTATTAATGACTTACACATGCTTGAAATTAACTACTGTCCATCTCCTCAGTCTTTCCATGCTTGTCATGTCTGCAACGTGTACTAGTGCCTTACTTGAGTCTGCGCAGCAAGCAGTTGAACGCAAGGCTAGCTGGGAGCATGAGCCGCCTCCTCTCTGGGTCAGAATCATAACGCCAGTCAAACAGCAAAATCTTTGCCATACTGGTGGCCTATACCTGCCGGCAGTGTTATAGTGCTGATATTAAAGGGCATCTGTTGATACCTTTAGGGTTTAGTTACTAACACTTGGCTGCATTCAGTGAGCTACACTTATCTGAGGTGATGAAATTATTTAAATTGATTTAGCCTAATCCCAATAATTGTTGAGCTGAATAATTTCCTTGTTGCATTGTCTAGACTAAACCACTATTAAGATGTTTCTTTGTTGATGTAAGACTTATCCTGAAATATACTGTCCAGCAGATATGTCTGAGTATTACTGGAATAGAATAAGCGTTTCTCTGTTATAAACAAGTGTTGTGCTTTCTTTAACAGATTGCGTCGGTTGTATCATTTGATGCTGTATGTACAATATTTATCTGGTCACAAAAATATTTTTTGTATTCACTAAAAAATAAAAAAGTTTTAAAACAACCAGCATTTCTATGTTTTTATTAATATCAGATTTATATGGTTGCAGTCTTTTTTGTTTATTGTTTGCATCATCAGATCAGACTGTTATGTTTTCTTTCTAATATGGTCTTATATCAGAAGATCAGTATATACAAATGCTTTTAACTACTTTAGGGCTGCAACTAACAACTATTTTGCAAATCGGTTATTCTGTTGATTATTTTTTGATTAATGGATTAATAATCAGATAGCAAAAGGTTCCTTAAAGAAGATTTTTTTTACAAATTTACCCCAGGGGAAATTGAAACGTTTTGACCTTAGGAGTTCTGATAAAGCATATTGAATGTTTTGTATCTTAAATGCAAAATGTTTACATATATATATATATATATATATATTATTTTTACAATTTTGATATAATTACTGCTCTAAGCAGATTGCTCTTTTAGCTAATGCATGTTTTACAGTCTCTATACTCAATTTAATTATTAAGCGATTGCTAAATTAGTTGACGATTATGTCTATAATCAATTAATCACGATTAATCAAATAGTTTCAGCCCTAAACTACTTTACTCTCCTTTATTTGCAATACCTCACAAAGCTTGCATACATTACATCAAATACAAACTATAATATTGGGATTTTATGCGCTAGACTAGAAGTGTGGCTCTGGCCTGTAGTTTATGAAACTGGCCAGTATGTAGACAAATTAATGGAACTTTGATATCAACATCAAGCAAATTTCATTTGAAATCATTTTTAAAAATACTGTGAACCACATAACACTTTCCAACAAAGAAAACAGTTGACCAAAAACAATTTGAAAATTAATGATTTTTTTTCTCTTTGATGAGGCAAACCTGAGAACATTTTTTAGATTTTTGATCTTCAGTGATTTACAGATACTTTTCCTTCAACAACACTACTTTGCTTATTGCATTAAAACACTGTTTAATCCCATGTTAAACAGCTGAAACCTTTTTTATGGTTTATGAAGCTCTGTGGCAGCTCTGCACAAACATGGTTTGAAACTTTTATCGCAAAAAGATATGCTGCCTAAGTCTTTTTTATCCTTTATTTTCTCTTTTCAACTTTGTCCACACCTCCCTGACAGCACTGGATGATCCCCACCATTGACATCTTTGCTGTCATTGTGATTTGCAGAAAAAGAGCAGGTAGAAAGCACAGTAGCTGCCGTTTAGATGTTGCATCAACAGTTGGTAGAAATATTGGCCGTTCTTGCAAATGTAGATATGTACTTCTGTCGTTGCACACCAACCACAGATCCATTGTAAAACCCTTCATGCTTGGTGTAGCACATCTAATACTTTCAAGTCAAATGGCTCAAGAGTCAGTGAATTCATGAGTCATTGCTGTGAAAGTCAATGTTGGGTGTAAGATTGTTATATTTGTTCCTCAAGTCGGATATCATGTAAGTCCAACTCACATGATTCAAGTCTCTTAAATAGACAGCTTGTTATGCTGCTATTCCTGAGTTGAGGTTCTCTGCAACTCTTCCAGTGTTATTCTTGTCTAATTGCCTGACCCTTAAGTTTAGCCTGTAAATGTTGTGTTGAAGCTGTGTCTGTACTCTTGACTTCCCTATGGCCAGTCCATAAAATGTCTGATGTGGTCTTGGTCTTGATTTTACTTTACTTGTATTCTCTAATACTCTCTAACTCTCATTTGAGTTTTTTATATTAATATAAAATTACAAACAGCGATCTAAAAGTACAGTTCTAAAATGTATTAATCGCTCCAGACTTATTTTAAGGGTATCAGACTTGAGAGGGAAAGCTGAACAATTTTCCCTAAAATAACAGCTATGACCTAATTTGTGTTTATCAATCACGCAAAACACCAGTAAGTACATTAAACTTTGTATTTCTAACATGACTTACTGGGAAACGGTTACAGGGACATCATTATTTAAAGATCTGTAGGTACATCACTTACTATAGCATGAATTTGCCATAGAAAAAAAAGAAAAAAAGAATTATACATTCTTGCCAGTAGATGTCAGCATTGCCCTTCATAGCTCAGTCATGGGGAGAAGTGAATGTTTGGAAAATATTCTTGTGGAGGGATAAGCAGAGGTTTGCCAGACCAAATATGGAAGTTGTGGATTCACTTTTTTTTTTTTTTTAACCCGAGTTTCCCAGACCAGACTTTGAAGTATGCACAGATCCCCATTTAGATGTTTTGTCAAGAGGGAGAGCTCACATCATTTTGCTCATACACATACTATTACACTATGTAATGAAATAATCACTCATCAATAAGTTGAGAAGTTATTGATAAGTTATTTTCTGCACACTCTGGGTAGGACAGACTAACCAGGTAACTTTGTTTTATTACTTAAACGATACAGAATGTATTGTAATTGATCTTTTCCTTTTGTCAGAAGCATACTGGGACAGAAGGAATGCCTTAAAGATGTATGCCCAGCACATTTCCTTGTCATCTTAATGAAGACCATATTTGGCTGTTTGAGTGTTTTGGTCTCATCGCTGCACAGTAGGGAGGGTAAACCGGAGCCATGTGTGTTAGGAGAGAGAACCATCTTTTTCTCACTCTCAACCCTTTTTCTGTGGTCCTTGGCCTCTCATTCCAGGGCAGCCCATAGACAAAAGAGATTTTTGTTTGGAAAGAAAAGTTTATTTATATAGCACTTTTCAGTAGCAGGACAATCAAAGAAAAAGCACAACAGGAAAAAGAAAATTACAGTAGCATAAATGTAGTTTCCTCTCTTAATAAAGTTATTACTTTTGTAATACGACTCTGGGTTTTCAGGCATTTTCACAACCTGGCACATATTTTCCCTATAAATGATTAAATTACAGCTACTTTTTACATTTAAAATTTTAAAATAAAAATGATTTAACTTAAGGTATCAGAATTAAATAGTATTGGCTTTTGTGTTATCAGCTTTGTGTGAGAATCACAAATCCTGTGCTTTTTTATCTTTTGGAAAAGACTGTTAATGGTGTTATTTTTTTGTTTGTAAGAAGTCAACATAGGGATTTGTAAAGTTTTAGTGTGGCCTAGTGGTTAGGGCCTTGATCTTGGAATCCAGAGGTTCTGAGTTCGAGCCCCACTCCCACAGACTGACACTCAAGGTCCCTGAGCAAGACCCTTAACCTCACACTGCTCCCCGTGTGCCTCACAATGGCAGCAAACTGCTCCCCAAAGGGATGGGTTAAATGCGTAGAGTAAATTTCATTGCTCTGTACTTGTGAAAGTGTAATGACAATAAAAGCTAAAAAAAAAATAAGTGTATAAATATGGAACCGAATAAATAAGGCACAAAATATCTCTATTTTAAAGTCCCTATTAGCTTAGGTTTAATCAATCCATGAAATATTTGGGAATCTTTATGCTGATACTTTAATCCTACCATACAGAGTTACATGGCAGCACCGCCTTCTGCCACGCCGTGTGCGAGAGGCCAATGCAAGTTTTTTTTTTTTATTTATATACTTTTTATTATATATATATATAATTTTTGGATCCTTGATTGCAAAATGAGCAGCAGCTCTTACTTCTGTTGCAGTTTGCATTTCTGATTTTTGGCTTTTGTATGTCCTTTATGACTTTATTTTTTAAATGACAGCGCAAAAATGTAAATCTAGATAGGTCTATTTTTTCTTAAAATTAGTGCTTTTTTATCTAGGAGGTAAGTGAGACTCTTGGCCAATGGAACAAGACAATTTACATTTAAAATAAGAAAAAAATACATTATCCTATTTCAAGTGCATATTATCTAATTATCTTATTTTAAGAGTAAAACACTCCCTGGTGGTCAGTGGGCGAGACGCAGGGTAACCGCTGGACGGGTCGGCAATCTGTTGCAGGGCACACAAAGACAGACACCCATGCACACGCACACACTTACACCTAAGAACCCACGCATGCACAGGGATAAAATTCAAACAGAAAGAACCAGAGCCAGGAATAAAACCCAGAACCTTCTTGCTGCAAGGCACAGTGCTATCCACTGCTCACTGTGCACCCCCCAGTGTCTTACAAAAAAATAAAAATAAAAAATTGTTGCATTTTAAACTTTTCAAACATTTTTTCTGCCAAACAGCATGTTCAGCTAATTCTACCACCAGCCTGTTTAACGGTAGGAACAGTGTGTTCACTGATTTTGTAACGTACTTTTTTATGTAGGCTAGAAAGTTCTGGTATCTTCTGACCAGTGCACTTTCTTCTACAGGCTTAAGAGATAAAGCACACATGTCTGTTCTTGTTAATAGTTAGGTGACCTTTGGAGGTAAATGATTACAGTGGGCTTTATTTAGCTGTAACAGAGTATGGGGGCGACATGCAAACATATGACCAGCAGAATTAGGAGTCATGAAGTTACTTATAATGGAGAGGCCACATTGACCCCTCTTGATTACAGCCTACATCAGAGAAACAAAAACATGCCTGTTAGCTCATGTATTTAAGGGCAAAGTGTTGCTTTGGGTCACATGACTGATTCAGTGATGGACCTGGCACTCTCAAGTTACACAAGCAAGTTTTTGAAGGGGCAGCTGCACAAAGCATCAAAACACGTCAAGAAATTTTGAGCATTTAGTTTTTTTGTCAGATTTTTTGTACGTCAGGCATATGCTGTCTAAATCGTCATGGTGTGACAGGGCCTTCAGATGAGCACTGAACCAGCTCACATCTCAAAGGTTGAAAGAGAGCACATACAGTTAGTCACAGTAAGAGAAACCGGATTGCACTAAAAAACAGGTCAAGCACCAAGATCTATAAACAAATGTGTTGATGGCAGCAACACAGCTTGTATTTCTCTCCGGATGTTGTCACAGCCAAACTGGAACAGACCAGATCAAAGTACTATGATGAAATTAAGCAGAGGAGCATAAAGTTAGAGGTTGAACAAACAAATACTGCAGAATATGAGAATAGAGAAAGAATGAAAAAGAATGATGAAAAGTGGTCCCTATGTCCTCAAGCAGTCTAAGCTTATAGCA